TGTTTCAAACTTCCTATTACTAGCTATTTTGACTCAAATTGCAGCCGTTCTACTGGTACTGCTACCGACCCAGAATATTTTACTTAGTACCAGACCGTACCGGCTTACTTTCACACCTGCGCGTTAGTATCATGGAAGTATCACATAAAAATCTGTTGTTTTGTGCTTTTTGTTACCCATCTTGCGTTTAACCCATTCAGGGAGGACAAACAGCTTCGTGAAGATATCAGTTGTCTCAGTCGCCCTCCAAGATTAACCTAAAACAGGTATAAAGTGGTTTAAAATGATTTTCTGAAGAAAAATGTCTGTAACTAATTCACAATGTGTGTGCGTGTGGATGTAATACCTTGTGGGGACGATTTTCCTGACATATACTACGTTGTGGGGACCAATTGCTCCTTGTGGGGACCGGAGCCTGGTCCCCACAAGGGGAAACCCTGTTTTTGGGTCAGGGGTCAGATTTAGGGCTAAGGTATGAATTGAGTTTTGGTTAGGGTTAGGTATGTGATGGGATAGGGTTAGGGTTAGGTATGTGATGGGTAGGGTTAGGAAAAGGGTAAAGGTAAGGTTTAGGCTGTAGAAATGAATGGAAGTCAATGGAAAGTCCCCACAAAGATAGTCACGCAAACGTGTGTGTGTGAAAGTTCTCACCAGTCTGAAGTAGTGTGTGCCATAGGTCTGTATGAGCTTTGTATACTCATTCTTAGTGGAGATGTTGTAGTGAGGTGGCAGGAGGTCTAACTGCTGTTTGAATTTTAAACTTAAGAGAGGTCTGTTTGACAATATAAATCTAGACACAAAGACAAAATTAGACAATTATTTAAATAACCATGACCTGTCAGAACTCAATGAAAAAAGTCTAATTTCCATTCTACCCATAATGACTGCAGGCGACACTGTGTATGCTGAAAGTGTAGCGATCCTCTTTGCTCCTTTGTGAAGCAAATTTGTAGGCTTTGGAGCCGGTTCCTCCCGCAACTAGGCCGGCAAACACAAACATTTGAACCTTGAAGCCAGCCTGATGAAATACAGACAACACATGTAGTTTATAGGGTGTTAAATAAGAAGCCATATTTTTGTTATCACTATGCCACTCACTTACTTCAGTTCTAACTGAATTTGAAAATATTCTGAAATGTTCAGTTTCTTACCGACCAATCATTGGTATCTTGGGATGTGTAAGACTCAACCAGAGAGCTGTTGGCACATTTTAAAGGAAGTAATTATTATTAAACATCTACACAGTTCATTTTTCATTAGTTAATAAAGCGTTCTAGCTTAGTGAAATTGTGGATTTAACTATTATTTTAATACCTAATAAGCCTTATTAGGCAGGTATTTATAAACTACAGTTATATTCAATAAATTAGAAAATGCTTCCATATGTGGCTCGGTTTTCAGATTAAAAGTACTTTTAAAATAACAACCTCTGAGCCGGTGTTAAGCACATTTTTCATTAAACCTGTACTTCTGTATTATGAAACATTTTTTATTGGTTTGCTGTGTTATTCCAATTTTCAATGTTAGGTTTGCATTACTTGTAAGTTGTAAGTTCAAAATCCTCATAATTAACAGAAATAAATGCTTTAAAAATGAATATGTGTGTAATTATTCTATATAATGTTTCATTTAGTGATAAAACTGCTGAAACAAATGAACTTTTCAATAATATTCTAATTTAGTGAATGGGTATTTATTTGCCTATTGTTTCCCTTGGTAATTTTAATCAAAATTTCTATTTTGTTCATAATCTTCCTAATTACTTATTTATAGTTATTCACAGTCAAAGTGATTCTCATTGTTGCAGGATGGTCCTTGATCACATGTCCCTTTCTGTGTGTGAATATATATATATATGTGTGTGTGTTTTAGGACTTCTCACCTTGTAAGTCCCCATAAGAAGTGCTGTCTTTGACTAAGTTTAAGACTAAGGAGTGACTTCAACTTAGGTCGGGTTTAGGGTCAGAGTCAGGTTTTTATATGCACAGACTAAAAATGTTAAGTTGTCCTCTAAGCTAAAGTTAAAGGATGTGACACAGTAGGGAACGCCCTCTTTATCGCTTACCTAGATAGAGGCTAACTATTAGAATTACTGTTGCTTGAGGCCATTTTGTCCTGCTAGCTCCTAAAAGTAGCATGAGAAATGGACCAACTGTATTTTGATATTAATAAATGGAATTCATGAATTCAACTCACTGACTCTTCTATATCAAGAATTGAGCCTGGAGAAAGGATAATTCTTCACACACTAAATTATTTGAAGGTGACTTAAAAGTGAAAGTCCATCTGCTGCTTTAAAATGCAATTAAAATCAATAAGAAAAATGTATTTCTTTTAACTCAGAAATTAAATTTCATAAAGTTGATTCAACAACAAGAGACAAGTTGTTTAAACATTGTTTTTTAAGTTCTGTTTGCGTATTAACCTTGAACTGTGAGTTTCAACTTAATACTGGAATTTAAACCAAATGATCATTTCACAATATGCAAGAACAAAACGGCCTTCACCTAATTAAAGAACACATATTTCTGTATTATTTCACTCACCTTATCAAATTAAAGTAACCACGTATTTTTACACTAGAATAATTAAAACTCTTCTTTCAACTTGATTAGAACAAAAGTTATGATTTGCTAATGAGTTTAATAAAGATCACAATAAATTCTGCTCAAAAACTTTTAGCAGAGAATAACTTTTTTAAATGAACATTTGGCAAAATAATACATCAGAGTCAGATCAATGTAACACACGTCCATCTCAGGATACAAAAATATGCCTCTAAGCATTCTGGGAAATAATTCGCATTCCTGTGTTTTATTTTCTTTTAGTGTTTTTAGTGCTAATATATAAACTGTAGTTTATTCAACTCTCTCGGGTTTGACAAAATTAATAAAATGCTAACAGACTTACTGCTGTAAGTTTATCTTTCACAAACACACATTTAGGTTAAAAATCTATAACTAAATTTATATAGTTTTAGATTTTTTTAAAAATTAAGAACTAGACCAGTTTTGAATGTAGAAGTTAGTAGACGCAACTAAATGTTGCCCAAATGTTTTACAGTATATTAGGCTGACCCGCTCTGCAGAACAGGGTCAGTGCTCTACAGGCAAAGAGAAGTAAATACACAACCTCAGACTCCCTCCATAGCTTTGATATCTTTAAGCTGACAGACGAGACGTGCTCCATGATTTGTCTCAAGTTTGGGATTTTGTCTTACAACTTAACTCTGCTTCAAACTTTACCAATTTTTTTTGCTTTGGTCATCATGGTGCTGTATGTAACCTTAACTGTGAACTTAACTGAGAATAAAGGTGAATTTTTTTGATTTTTAAAAAAAATTATACATTATTTTAGGTGACCTTTGAAGTCAACTGGTTGTACTTGAATATGTTAATAAGTATCAGAATATCAGTATAAATGCACACCACATTTTTCATATTTAGCTTCCACTTCAGAATTATCCACTGTGTTGGTCTAACAACATAAAGGTCCAATAAACAGACATGGTTGATTGGAACATGTAATTGTACCATATAAAAAAAGTTCTGGTAATTGTTAGTTTAACTATGTGATTCAACTTATACAGTGTTCACAATCCGGTTTAAATACTTTACCTAACAGAGGTGTGAAGTCTGCTGTGGATGTCAGGACTGCATTGACTGACGTAACTCCAGTCCACAACAGAAGATGGAAGCTTAAAATGAAGAAAAATCACGTTATTGTTAATCCCTCAAGTCAGATGTGCAGCTGTTTATTTATGCATTTTTAGTTACTTTTTGGAGGACATGGTTTTGAAGAGGGTTGCTGCAGAGTTTACAGGTTTTGCTGGGGCTCAGGTAAGTCTTCACATCAATCACATCAGCTTTTATGTGCAGTCTGACCACATCAAAACCTTGCCCCACCAGATTGTGGCCTGGTACAAAAGGAGCAGCATCACACTCTGTTTCGGTCCCAGTCCGATATGACTGAACAGAGGAGTGAACAAGGACGCTTAGGAGAAGAAGAGCTGAAGTGGAATCAGGCAGCATCGCTGTAGTCAGAAGATAAAAGATAGAGAAAAAAAAAACATTTTTTCTACATAATGCATGGCATTTTCCTTATTTTTATGACTTATTTATACAACATCATAAGAAAGTTAGTTAACACTTTATTTGAAGGGGTGTGCATAAGACTGACATAACACCTGTCATGAACATGATTCATTCTTCATGAATATTTGTGATGGTTGTCATTAAGTGTCATTTGGAAAATAATGATACTTTTAATGTGAAATTGACATTATTCAAGATGTCTTTATTATGACAACCTGACATTAACCAATTAATTATCAAAATTGTAAACAAAGGTACATAACATTTTAAATTTTGATAATTAACAACTATTATGACATATTTATGACAGATGATGAATCTTGGTTAATTTCATGTTTGTCAAAGTGTTATCAAAACGGTTATGCTAACACATGCAAAAATAAAAAATACCTGATCAGAGATATGTAAAAATGTACAAAAACATTCAAATGCATGTATAAATTAAATGTGGAATTGTTTCAATAAATATTTAAATGTATTTAATACATGGGTAAATATGTTTACAGTGCCATTCATTTTAACAGTACAGCACTATTAAAATAAATTCAGGATATGCTGCTAACACAGGACTTTAATCTGAATAGAATACAAGTCAGACTTAATGGTTAAATATTGTTTAAGCATATTGTGATTATTACATACCCATGTATTAAATACATTAAAATAATCATAAATGCATTTCAACTTTTATGTACATTTTTACATTGTGTATCTCTGTCCAGTTATTTTTTATTTTTGCATGTGTTAGTGCAAGCTAATATCACATTTTTGAATTAGAGCATATTTGTTCATGGGAGCAGCAGTTAATGATGGTGAAACATTAGTAGAGCTCTAGATAACACAAAAGGTTTAGTCAGTAGATATTTGTGAACAAATACATTGAAGCTCACTCATTAGCATGATTTAATTCCCATTTTCTTATTCAATGTATTCCTTTTGTCTCATAAAGATAGTAGGTTACATGCCAGTAGTTAAAGAAATAAATTATTCACAGAATAATTCAGCTGTAAAGTTGGGCTATTTAGTTAATAAATTCTCAGACTCGATTAGAAATAAGCATGTCAGTAAAGAAACTTGTGTGAAAAGTTTCTTCATTGCCTCATTAGAGATTGAGCTCGGCTTTATTAATTAATAATAAATTATGGATTACAATTTGTACTAATTAAATAAGACAAATGTTGAAGCGAGTTGTGATTCCCAATAATTTTGATGTCACCTTGTGAGGTTGCTACAACATTTTTGGTTTCCAGAATTCTGATTCCCAGCAATTAATCAACAAATTCAGCTTTGGAGATCCACAGATCTTTGATTTGAACAAACAGCCACAAACCTCCACCACATTAATATCAGTGAAATTAAATTAACCAGAAAATTGTCTTCTTTAAAAATTTTTAGAACTCAATAAACACACAATATTTGTATTTGCTGCAGTGTATTCTAAGCAAAGATACTCTTTTTTTCCCAGTTAATTTTATTTTCCTTTTGCATACTAAAAAATCTTACCTGTTCCAAAGCAGACCAAAAAGAAGTTGAAACAAGCAAGCAAGCAATGTGCTGCAGTGTGCTGAGCTGAAAACTGTGGTTTATAAAGCAGCAGCCCTGGAGAGATAAGGATTCATACAGAACATTGTCTAAAGGTCAATTGAATATAGTTACTTTGTTTCTTGTAACTGCTGGTAAAGTTTGAGGTTTTTATTTTGGCAGCGTTCTGCTAACAGAACAAACAGTGCTAATCGAACTTTTTGTTTTATTGCAGTTCTACTGGAACTTCAATGAAGGAAAGGTTTAACAGCAAGGCAGAAAAATGCATAAAAAGCAACTTAAATTTAGCTTCAGTCAGTAAGGAAACAAGGTAATGGAATTGAA